GTTAACCCTTGAGTGCTCAGCCAATTGCTAGTTCATCATTTAGCAGTAAGGCATTCCCTGGAAATATCCCACCCTCTGACTCCTCCACCTCAACCAAGCTTCACAATCATCATCACTGTGTACCAGTAAATATTTGTCTGGTGAAAAAAATTTCCCTGGAACCTAACCCCCTCATTTACATTAATTCTTATTGGGAAATTGGATTTGCTTAAAGTCATTTTTCAGGAACATAACTACAATGTTAAGTGAGGAGTTACTGTACTCTCCCATGGAATTTAATGGCAGGGAGATGAGAGTTAGGAGGACCTGATTATAGAGCATTTCTTACAAAAAAGTGATTCTGTCTGATAAATTGTATTCCTTCACATACTTCAACAATTTGGCCATGGATACATCTATTTATTTAGTAACTTTTCTCTTTTTTTTCCTAGTACTAAAAGGAAAGAAGCTCAGTTTGCCAGCGTAAGTGCCAAAAATCATCACCAGCATCTGTCCTTCCGGATGCTTGGACAGAACAATCCTTACCACAAGCAAAGGCGAAGATGCTTGAGACAGAAAGTCAGAAATACAACTCTCTTTTTAGCACAGATAGTCATCAGTGGCTCTGTAAGAACAGAGGAAAAACAACCAGCGGATTTCTGTTTGATGCATCTTGCCTCTATCTTTTTTATTACTATGTATAAAGATTTTTTACATAAAGAAACTTATACTGTATTAATAAATTCAGTGTGTAGTTTCAATTTGAATAGTTCCAAAAGTGAGGTTTTGTGAGGTTGTTTATGACCAGAAATAAGTACAAACACTTTTTTTTTTTTAAATTTTCAAGGATTCTTTCAAATAACTGATTTATTTCAGTGCACACACATGTGTGCTTCCTGATGGATGGTAATCATTATTCTTCCCCTTCATTTCAATTTTCATTCCACTATATTTATTTTTTTCCAAAAGGTGAATTATATCTGTCAACTTAAATCTGAACCCACTGATATTTGATGTGAAGTTCTTGTGACCAGTATGCTATGCCATGTGCTGATAGGGAGTTTCCTATGAAAACATGCCAGTGCCATTAAGGCTGGCAGTCATGTTTTGTTAGTTTTCTCTCTTTGGTTCCTTCCCTTTTAAAAACAGGCTGTTAAAGAATGTTAGGGAGTCCATTCTTGTGGCCACCAGGGTGCGTGCCCTCTGTGTCTTTGATCTGTTGTCTAGGAAGGCAATCCAAGTGATAAAGTATTTGGTGGCAATGCAGGTTAGAGAGGTTAAGGTGCTTGGCTGTGTGGTTTAGTGGTAAACATTTCTATTGTGTTCTTTATTCAGGAAAAGATGGTTAAACTGTTTTGGATGTAGAGCCCTACTTTCATTAGTAGTAATATTGTTGCAGCTATAAGGATGAATAACCCATGATAGTTGTCAATTGCAGTAATCTGTAGGTGATCATTTTAAACGTCTTCAGTTTTTTAATGAATACTTTACAAGTAATGTCCATGTTCAGCTTCAAGTGGTTTTTGATGTATCACTTTTGGACAATTAGTATGATTTTTATAAACTTGTTTGAAAATCAGCAGCACCAATTACCATTCTTTATATTCTTTAAATGATTCCCTTTTTTACTGAGCTGTTGCATGATTTATCCTGTGTTACCATCCTCAATAAACATTTTATGAAATGGTGTAAATTGTATCTTTGTTCTTAAATTACGGCTTTGTATCATCCTGTGTCTGGATGAACAGTTGTAGTAACAGACGGTTGTTTAAATTAATTTCATTGTTGATGTACTGGTGTTTGTGGGGAAAATAGATGTATTATCTTTAAATACAGAAACATCTGTTAGTATGAATGTTTTAGAAAATAATCTTAAAAGTGGGAATAAATCTGTGGCTGCACTAGATTGGATTTAGAAATGTGACAGAGAAGATGAGTGGCTCAAACACAAAGGGGGTATGAATGGTCTACTGTTTTGAATACTGTATTGGGATTCAGGAGAGCTGGGTTCAGTTCTTGCCTTATACTTTGTGTATGAACTTGGATAAGTGACTTAATGTACTCTGTGCCTTAGCTCTGCATCTGTAAAATGGTGATAATACTTTCTCCCTCACAGGGGCGGTGTTAGGATAAAATCCAGTATGATTGTGAGGTGTTCAGATACTACAGTAATGAGTGCCAAATAAGTACCTGGATAGATTTCATATTATTAATTACTATTGACCTGCATTTAGTTAAATTGTATTTTTCTGGTATGGGTCCCTTTATTTCCCTCACCCGTAATCCACCTAATTTCAAATGTATATGAGATTGTTTTTCAGCTACCAGTCCAACTACTAGAGGCATTTCTATATTCTCACACCCATCCAACAGTTTTGTGACTTGCTTTTCCCACATCCTTTTCTTTTATTTCTGCCCGTATTTTGTGTATTTCTCTCCACCTTTAATATTGTTCCCAGTTCCCCATTTGTTCCCTAATGTTTCCATCTCCCCTGTCTTCCATACCTATTGAAAACCTGCTGTCTCTGACCCACACCTTTGGGGAAAGGTTTGTTTTTTTCTCATTGAAGTTAAGACTGGTTTTGATCCTAGTTGTAGCCCATAAATTGAACATAAATTTCACATGTGGGCATCTCCCTTTCTGAGATGGCCACTTCTGTAAGTAGAAAGACTCTGTCCTGAGGTCTGTACAGGAATTCTGTTTTTTCTATACATATCCAGCTTTGGGCGAGGTGAACATGGAATATTACTGAACACACAAAAATTACATTAAAAGGACATTATTAAGGTCTCTTTCACTTGCAATCAATCCCCTGCCTCATTCATTACACACTTCCAACTTTGCAACAAATGAAGTAGGGGTCCTACAGACAGGTTTCTTCACTATATGACCCTAATTCATTCCCAGAGTAGCTCCATTCTGTGAACTGAATGAGGCAGGGGTCTTGTGGGAAAATACTATGTGATTATGTAATTATGACTATCATAAATCCATATCCACAAGGGGGCTGAATTAAAGTTGCACAGGCACACTTAATTCTGGCATTTCCTAACTTTTGAGTGCTTGACTTTTATGTGCAGTCTTAATGTTCTTTTAACATCGTTTGTGTGTGTGTAATTTCCTATCTTAATTAAAAAAAAAAAAAACTTAATCATGTGGTATCCTAATGTATGTATATACCGCACTGTAAACCTAGGTCTGTGGGACCCAGGCTTGTGGACTCGGTGTTTCGGAGCCCATGCTCCATTGTAAACCTGGTTTACAACTGCTGGACCAGCAGAGCCATGCTAATGTGTCCAGACTACACTATGCAGACCTTCTGACTCAGGTCTATGGCTTGAGCTGCATCCAGATTGACTTGGGTCCAAGCCCTGTCATTTTTCACAGTGGAACTCAGGGTCTGACGCAGCAATGTCGCTTTCCAAGGGTACCCAAGAACCAGGATTGTGCGGCACCTTGCCACTACTTGCATGTAGTGTGACAGAGTTTTGGCTCTACTTGCTTTGGAGCAGGTCCCTGAAACCAACAGCCTGTAGCAGCATCAGCACTGCTTTCCAAGCCTTCTCAGACCTCAGTCTCTCTGTACAGGTAGTGACAGGCACACACCAACCCCCAGATACTTGGAGCATTCCCTGCAGTGTCCAGCCCATTATCCACGGGACACTTGCAGAATTACCAGGCCCACTCGTCCTAGAGGAACAGGATACCCCCCCCCCCCGCTTGTAAGATTCAACTCATGACCAGCACTTTGAATATATCTCAGTGCTGTGGTATTATGCATAGTGAAAACAAGAATAAATTTATCAAAGACAAGAGATGGGGGAGATAATGGATAAGGATATTGGAAACAAATGGTTACACAGAAAACAAAATTGTAACATGCTCTCCAGAGATTAAACTTAACTAACAAGTTAACCACCTGTCTAAAGATGTTTGTCACCCAAAGTCCTCTTTAGCGTTTTCAGCCTAGCTTGGCTGAGACCCTGCTTTCATGAATGGAGGTGGAGGATGCCAGGATGTTATCTTTGCCTTTTAGAAATAATCCCAAAGTTCATTGTCTTTACTCAGAGACAGGATAACACCCATCGCTTTTTTTCTTTTTCTGTGTGCTCCTTTCTTGTTGAGTTCACATCAGTTCATTGCCATTTGACTTTGTTTGTAAATAGGCATCCATTGTGTTAGCTTACAATGCTTCATTTACAGCCTGACAGAAATACACATTTCTTACCTATCTGGAAGAAGCAGCCTAAGACCTGTCACCTTTTGCTGACCTGCTTTTAACTTGTATGCTTAAAACCATAATATTCTAGTACAGATTAATAACTCCTTACATAGTACACATACATACATTTCACAATTATATTGATGACCAGTGTTCTCGCTGTCTTTCAGTTGAGAGCTCACAACTTTTTTTGGTGAACCAGAAGATACAGATCAGAATAAGGAGATTATTGGACCCCGCTGTATCTTGTCAGTGTGGGAGGGACCCACAGGACCCCACATTGTAGTGGCATGTACGGTGATGGCATTAGGGTGACCAGATGTCCCGATTTTATAGGGACAGTCCCGATTTTTGGGTCTTTTTCTTATATAGGTTCCTATTACCCCCCACCCTTGTCCCGATTTTTCACATTTGCTGTCTGGTCACCCTAGATGGCATGGTGCTGTGAGGTGATGTGATATATGGTTGTCACAGTGCCATAAGGGGCAGAACAGGGCCAGCTGCCACATCTGCCAGGGGGCAGCATCATGGGGGACAGCCAAGTGCCCGGTGCCCAGCCTGCTGTCTCTCAGCGTCTCCACTTCCAGGGGAGTGCCTGTCAGCACGGGAGAGCTCTGCGCATGCGCCTCGGGGCTAGGCAGGCGTGGGCGAGAGGGAGCAAAGAGGACTCCGAGCCGCGCGTCCTTTGCGCATGCGCCTGACTGCTCGAAGGGCGGGGATCGTAGAAGTCCTGCGCATGCGTCCCATCCTGAAACGGGGTGGGAAAGCGTCTAGCGCGCGAGCTCTACTCATGCGCCGGTGGGAAAGGGTGAATGTGTGCACTGCGCGATTCTAAGGGCTTACGCTGCGTGGTTGCGTCATGGCGTTGTGTTGTTTTTACGAAATCCTCTTTGGACTGGTGTGACGTTCTGTCCGAGGAGAGCAGGTAGCGTCTCGCTGGTGCGGGGTCGCTTCTTGGGAGGCTGGGGGTGTGGCAGGGAAGTGCGGGGACGGAAGGCGGGCAGCCCGGCTGGGGCTGGGCAGTGAAGTGTTTCGGGGGGGTTGGGCTGGGTGGGGGGCAGCCCGGCTGCGGCAGGCCTGGGGACGGCCCTACAGGAGCAGGGGTCGGAAAGGGGGGCAGGGAAAGGGGGCAGATGCGTAGCTTGTGGTCAGAGAGAAGTAATCTGAGGTATGGTGGCTAGTTTTGGTAGGAGGCAGGCTCCTGGCTTTAGTGAGGGTAAGGAGATGTGTGGGTCATCAGTATATTTGCTTCCTGCAGGAGGAGCAGGCACAGCACTGGTAGGGTCCCCAAGATGCCTGGAATGGTGATATTTGGGAGACGCTGGGCTATCGCTAGTGATGACTTTGTTTTTCCGGGAGCCTTTGAACTTTTCATCAGAATGATCTGGTAAGAGCCACCCCATCCTCACTTCCCACCACCCTCCAAGGGGAGGAGAACCATGCAGCTGGGAGATCTGGTCTGCCATGGAAGGTGCACTGTACATCTGCAGTGCCCTATTATTAGAACCCAGTATGCCATTGTGCTAGGTGTTGTATGAACAGAACAAAAAGATGTTCCCTGCCCCAAAGAGCTTACAGTGTATAAGACAAGAGACAACCGCTAGATACAGACAGACTCAAGTGTTCTGCCTGCAGCCATTCCCTCCTGGTGACAGCAAGCTGAAGGCAAAATTGATCAGCGACTGATTAACTATTGATAAGTGATTTCTAGTCCTCTATAAAGGATAATGCGAATGTTAGGGTTATTTTAATTGTTTTATTTTAAATGTATGTTAACTTTCATGCTAATTGGAGTAGTCCTTGGGCTCCTTAGGAAATTGCTATTATGTATCTGTAGAGTATCTTATTGATTTTTATAACATGCCTGGGAAGCTGCTGAGTTGGTATGCTGTTAGGAATATTTGTTTAGATGCGATGTGAGACTGTCTAGTTCATTTGACATTTTATTACATAGAAGTGAGAGAGAAATTGAGGGTTTTTTTCCTATCATGTATTGTTAACCTGGGTTTTCATATTGAGAATGAGACATGTAATGTAACTTTTGCATGCTGTACTAAATTAAGACCATACTACACAGTAATCATTTGCTACTATTTCAAGATGTGGTTGCATCACTTAAACTTCATCCATCATTGAAGTGCTCTGGGATCCATCTGAATGAAAGGTGCTATAAAAAAAGGAGGATATTGTTGAACTTGTAGTCTCTGTTGTGGTTACTGCAATATACTCTACTGGGGTCTTTACATTCTGTGAGTTTCATTGTGGGAACACGCCCTTTTTATGAATTATTTTTAAATGTAGATGGATAATTTTTTATGACTGAATTAGCTTTGTGGTGAAGTATGTTTCTTCCTAGCTGTGACAACTTATGGTACTGTTTTTCTGCAGGTGGATTGGAATTCTTATTTTGTACTCCATTCACAAAGGGAAATTTAACTGTACTGGAGGGGGATTATTGCACAGCTACCTGCTTGTCCTCCTCGTTCTCCTGGCTGTCATAATATGCACTGTATCTGCTATTGTGTATATCAGTATGCAAGGTAAATACTTAGTCTGCAATACCTGATATTTATAGTAGTAGGATTTATATATTTTATTTAGATTTGCCATTAAAATAGAACAGCTTTACAAACATTCTGTGTGCCCTGACAGTAATAAGATTTATAGTAACCACTTCTCAGTATTAATACTACCTAATACAAATAAATTAAACTCTGCTAACCTTAAATAATCAAATAGAGGTAACAGTTTACTACACCCAGTAGATAACTATAAAATAGGGGAACTCCAAAATATCATCTCACAACCAAATCAGATTCAGCAATGCTGCTACTTCCACATCCAGCAATTTACTAGTTCACTAATAAATAATCTGAAAAGATGCACTGTTTTTAACACCTCTGACAGACTTCCAGGAGCAGCTATGCAGAATCCATCTGCTCCATAATGGTACTTATAAACATAGCCTTATATAGTCACAGTCAGCACCACACATCAAAAGTGTATCAGATACAGTAGGCTGTTAAGGAAAAGTATATAGAAAGGTGGTCCACACAAATTATACAGTGTCTTATTAATACAATAATTATGTAAACAGGAAGAGTTTCAGCTTGAGGAAGAGAGGCAAACTAATATGATATGGGAGCATATGCACAGACACCTTATCATGGGACAGAGAGGTATCTGTAATGGTCCCTTTGTATATTGTGTTCTGTTCTGGGAGCCTTATTACCAGAAAGATAGACCCTCCTAATACCGGTCTTAGGTACTTGTATGCCTCCATTAGGGTAGTATTTGAGCACTTCACAATCTCTAGTGTATTTATCCTCACAACACTCCAGTAAAGTATGATCTCCGTTTTACAGAGAGGCTGTGACTTGCCTGAGGTCACACAGAAAGTCTGTTGGGAGACCCAGGTCCAAGTCACTGCTCCACAAGTCCTAGGCTAGTGCCCCAACCATTGGACCATCCTAGAGTGATCATAGAAAAACAGCTAAAATATTTAGGCATCTGGAGGGACGGATCTGATGAAAGATTAAAAATCAATGTAGGTACCTTGCCCAAACTACAAGTTTGGGGACGATTGGGGATATAACTATATATAAATACATGTATATAAACATCAAGGAGGGAGAAGGATTATTCAGCATAATTTAAGGGCATATAACTAGGAATCACCAGATAAATTAAGAAAGGGAAAACAGAGATTGGATCTCTGGGAAATTTAACAGAGAATTCCCCAATTAAAAACAATATCTCTGAAGGGAAATGGTGGAAACCCTGTTACTTAATGTCTCTAAAACTAAAGTGAAGAAAACTCTAGAAAATGTGCAATAAGGAAACTGGAAGATGGACTAGATAATCTAATAAGTCTCTCATATATCTGGAGTCAATTGATACTTTTACATTATTTCCCCTCCTCCCCCCAATAGAAACAATTCAAGCACTTTCAAACAGTAACAGTGAAATAATCCATTGTTAGTTAAATTACGTGCCTGGATCAAGTGGGTGGACAGAAGTTTGTTAGGCTGAGTAACATGCATCACCATCTGAGGCACTGAAATGTTCAATTAATTAAGCTATCGTCTGCTTGACAATATCTGCCGCATTAGAGTGTAAATTGCCATTTTTAGTTTGTTGGGTGACAAGTTTTGTCAGTAACATCTTTGTAGTTGATAATCTCACAGTATAAAAATATTTATAAATTGAGCTCATCCCCGCCCTTCTATGAACTACTTGTAACTCACAGAAAATACAATAAGGTTTCTAGTATTTCAGACCTGGGTAGCTTTGGTTCTCTTTATCAGACAGATGCCACTTTTCTATTTTGATGAGATCCTTCTGCTAGAACACAATTTCATTTAAAAAAAACAAAAAACCCAAACTCTCTTCATAGTTTTAAAGTAGTGAGACAAGGCTGGATGGTAGATTGGTGGTGGTACCCCAAACTGTGACACGAATGTGTGCATTTTGGGTCCCATCCTTATGCAGGGTGGATGCATCACAGACAACATGATTCCCTCCCAAGGAAGGGGACTGGGTTAGAACAATTAGCTAACTCCAAAGAGATTTTTGGGGTGGACTTGGAGAATAATGTTTGACTGCTCTTTTGCCCAAAAAGATGGAGTATTGCAGTCACACAAATTCTGTTCAGATGTCTATCATCTTGTGTTCTTGTATTTAACTGCCTTATTAGTAAGCTCAGACCTATTGAGAAAATAAGCTGTATGGTGATTGGGCTTTTGTTGTAGCTAAAGTGACTTTGAGAAAAGTCCGTGAATAAAGATCAGTGATTTAAACTCTGAGCTTGATCTCTATTAAGTTGACTGGACAAACCTGTAAATCTTTAAAGATGCAACTCCAAATAGAAATACTTGTTCTATGCCAGTATAATATGTAGAAGCAAAAAATGCTTGCCAGAAATGTAAGGAATCCCCTCCAAAACCCCAACCCCCTACCCCAGGCTGGTGAAAGTGAGGGAGGGTGGGGGAGAGCGAGCAATTGAGAGAGTTGGGCGGGGCTTTGGGGAAAGGGTGGAGCCTCGGGGAAGGGGCAAGGTAGATCCTGGGTTGCCCTTAAATTCAAAAAGTGATCTTGCGCATAAAAAGTTTGGAAACCACTGGCCTAGAGAGTCGAATCAGGTCCTATGTGAACAGGCTGAGGCTGAAATATATCTTCTGGGAAATGAGATGTGTCCAACAACAGATACAAAAATCCCTCTGAGAAAACGGAAATGATTTTAATATTTCCAGTTTTAAACCATTAAAAATGCTAAAGATGTTCACCATTCAGTTCTAAGACATTTTATGGTCTACAGTTTCACTTCTTCGAAACTTCACTTTAAAAATCTTAGTTTGTTGGGTTTTTATATACTTGATTAAATTTCACAGTGGGCACCATAGCATAAAAACACTGATTTTTGTGTGTGGATATTTTATGTACATAAGTGACTTTTTACTTAAATTCCATCTGTAATTTCAGGAACAATTTCTAACCCTGGGCCAAGGAAATCTCTTCCTAAATTGATTTATACTCGGCTAGGTCTTTATATCCCAGAATTGGTCTGGGCAGTTGTGGGCGCTATATGGGTGTCGGACACTGATGTACGTTGTGAAAGGACTGTGGTAAATGTCGTATTTTGGACAGTTATTGCAAGGTAAAGATGCTAACAGAAAACTAAGCTAAGCTTATATTATGCATTTATATTTTAAATATCCAGTGAAGATTTTTTCTGACCACTCAAAACTTGGATATTTGTTTTAAATTACTGGAGTTTCTTAAACAAGGATTTTTATAGTGAGTGAATATATAAAGACTAGAATAAACTCATTGTTTTCATTGTGCTTTTCTAATTACCTGAGAGATGTTGTGGCATCCTCCCTTACAAAGCTGGGGATGAAGTGAAAGCTATGAAGAGTAAAGTTGAGAAGGGGTCAAAAAGACAAACAAAGATGGACGATCAGACAGATGTGAAGAGGGTGGGAGAAGAGAAACAGAGGAGCAGGAATAGATGCCTTAAGAGACCGGTAATGGCATATGGAGCCTTCCCCAACTTAAGATAGCTATTTCAAAACAGTCATCCATCAGTGGTGATTGCAGTAGAGGTTTAGTGTGTTATGTGAAATGAGTTGGCAGTCTCAATCCTGTTCCTAGTGTATTGGTGTCCCTATGACAAAGCCATCATCGGTACCAGTAAGTGAGTGTGCTGGTGGTATGCCACAATAAACTGTATTTTCTTTTCTATGACAAGAAGTATAGCTGACAAGAGCTATAGCTGCATGCTCTTGTATACAGTACTTTAGGAGTACATGGTTCACCAAGCCTTTCCTCCCACACCCTTCTGTTTTGCAGCTGGGTTATCATCATCTTTACCATCGTTGCAGTTGTAATTGTCTTTGATCCACTTGGGGGGAAAAAGACACTGTACCTGGCTGATGATATAAATCGCAACTTGGAAAGCAGTCAATCAGGCCAATTGTTTTATAATGTCAAGAAGACCGCAACCAGAGTCTGGGAGAGGAGAATCAGGTTACTGTGTTGTTGTATTATGCAAGATGATGATCACCGAGTGGCTTTTACAAGTATTGCAGAGCTTTTCCGCACCTACTTCTCAGTAAGATGGAAAGATTTGTTTATTTGTTCTTATCATGCCATTTGACTAAACACTGGATCCTCAATACTGCAGCATTTTCACATGTGGCTCTTGCCTTTAGGTCAGTGAGAGTTCAGCAGTGCCATTTACTTGAGAATCAGGCTTTTGATACCTATCAGCTCTATTCTGAAACAGAAAACTTACACCACGCTGTCCTCCTTTTAACATGGGTTCCTTTGCCCTCTTGGGGGAAGAGATTGGCAAAATTGCACAAACTAACAAATTACAAACTTCAAACTTGGAAAAGTCACATGCTCAAGTAACCATTGTTTTCAAACTACTTTATTTTAACACACTTGGCACTTCACAGACATAGGAGCCAGATAAGCAATAGCTTCACAACAGTGAATTTGCCTCCACTTTTTCACCAATATTTTGGTCACAAACTTGCTTTCCGGTAATATCATGCTTGCTTGCATTTAAAAAATAAATTGGTACCATTACTTTTTTCCTTGTACAAACATATTCACTGTCTTCAACTAAAAAAAAAAAAAAACCAACTCCACTGGAGTTTTCTCATGATCCTCTAAGAATGCCTGGTGGTATTAATTGAGTTTAGGATCTTGTCTATATTGGGAATTTAGATTTCCCAGTAAAGCTATTGGCTGTAATTCGGCTAGTGAAGTTATTTTTCTCTTCAGTTTGGGCAATTCCCTAGTCAGGGGAATGAGGTTGATTTTTCTTAACCTCGGTATGTGAGGATCCAGAGTTTACCATTTTTCCCCTTGACCATAGTAGGGAATGGTACAAACAGCAAACAATTTAGCTACAGGTATCAGAGGGGTAGCCGTGTTAGTCTGAATCTGTAAAAAGCAAAAAAAAAGCTTTTTACAGATTCAGACTAACACGGCTACCCCTCTGATACTTGACACCATGCAAGGCACTGCATTTAGCCATATGGAATGGAAATCTATCAACCTCATGAAGAAACTTGCCATCTGAAAAAGTGAGGTTCTTACCCACAAAAGCTTATGCTCCCAATACTTCTGTTAGTCTTAAAGGTGCCACAGGACCCTCTGTTGCTTTTTACAATTTAGCTACATTAATTTATTGAGTTTATGAAGAGGTAATGTCAGCATTAACAGTGTGTTAAGGCAGTTCTCCCATCCTGAACTATACCAAACTGGCCCATACAAGAAAGCTACTCTGTAGAAAGCTCATCACAAGTTAAGGTCTGCGTAGTATTGATTGAGCTGGGACTTAACTGCCATCATGCTATACAGCTGTGTGAGAGAGTAGAGTTCAGCAGTGACCTTAGGATCTCTTTTCATACTCAAGGTTGGTGGGAGAGGTTCTTACTCATTAAAATGGTGTCTGTGCATGCTGCTCTATAATTGCCTCCAAGTCAGTGGGTTGTAGGATGTTAGAGGGAGCCTTGTTAAGGGGAATAGTCATCCTGTGCAGCTGAATTAAAACCTCCCCACCTCTGTACCTGGACCTTTCCTCTGTAAACCCCCCTTCACTTATGCATGGTAGAAAAGGAAGTGCCCACGTCCTGATTTTGCTGAGTCTTCCCATTGCCGTCAAACTTCAAAATCCCAGTTCTCATGGCTAATAGAAGGGGAATCCTTCTGCCAATATTTCTAATTATTACTCATGATATAGCATGTTTATTTTGCCAGTCTCATTTCACATAAGTTGCTAAGAGTCTTCCAATGATCACTGTTGACCTAGAGTCAATTTGAACAAAAAATCTTGTGATGAAAAGCTCAATTACCATACTCCCTGGCCTTCTAATGTGGTTTCTTTACAGATGGAATAATCTTCATGGCACCCTAAGAACCCAATCCTGTGAGGGGCTGAGTGTCCTCACTTCTTATCAACTTCATTTGTGACTGTAGTGCTCATCACTTTGCAGGATCGAGCTCTAAATGACAGGGTTGTATCTACAGTACTGTTAAAGATCTGTAAGCAAATGCTATGTGCCTTGCCATAGGTTCAGAGCAGGAGTATTTGCTAGTCACATATCACAAATAACAGCATGAGCACTCCTTCAAAGTTACATAGTAGCTGTAGAGGGAGGTAAGCGTTTTTTTCCCCCTAAGTTGCTTGTGACAATTATTAGTCATGTTCAGATCATGTTTTGCTTTAGGGCTCCATAGGCCTTTTAAAGAAGATGCTTTTAACTTTCTTTTTTACATTGGAATTTATGTATGTGGCTTTTATTTGCAGAAAGTTTTTAAAGATGAAACATTGAGTGCGTTGGATGGGGATGTGAATGTTTCACAAGCACACCCTTGCTTTCTGATGTAAATGTATTTACTATAGAACTGCAAAAGAAAATCACTTTACATTTTTCAGTGGATTGCCTGTGATGATGTGGGTTTATTTTTAAAGAATGTTTTCCATTTTCTTTGGCAGGACACTGATCTGGTGCCTAGTGACATAGCAGCAGGCTTCACTCTGCTCCATCAAGAGCAAGATAAAGTGGAAAACTGCCCAAAAGAGCCTGAAGAAATCCTGTGTCATTCCCACCTATCCCATGTGGTAAGATATGCTACCAAAAAACAGCTTTGTCATACAGCCTGTTTAAGGGACAGAGTCTTGTCAAACTGAACTAAAATGCAAGTTTTGTAAAAATTAGTTTTGACAAAATCTAAGGCTCATAGTTTCCAGTATTTTAAGTTCAAATAGGAAATTTTGTAATCCAATAAAAATCCTCTTATGAAGTTTGCAATCAAAACATTGCTGAATTGTACTAATACATGGAGAACCTGAAAGTAAAAATGACTAGAAAATGATTATAAACTAAAAACCTCCCACCAAAACTGGGCTATAAGGGTGGGATTTTCAAAAGCATCCAAGTGATTTAGGAAAATAAGTCCCATTGAAAAACAATGGGAGTTGTGTTCCTTAGGCACTTCCAAAAATTCCACCCCACAATTATGTTTTCATTTATATTGATAAATATGAAATTTTGAAATGGGAAGTAGGTATATGTGTGAAAATTATAGGTTTTTTTGGATCACCAAGAAAAATATGCACAGAAACAAATAAGATGACGTTCCAGTTCTATGAGCATAAAGCTGAAAATGTTGGTCTTGCAGTACAGATGCTCCCCGACTTACGCAAGCGTTCCATTCCGGAATGCCTTGCGCAAGTCGGGAACGTATACCCGACCATTATGTGCCCAAAAAAAAAAAAGGCTTACGGAACTTTTTCCATAAGTGCAGATTTGCTAAAGTCAGGTTTGCGTAACCCAGGGAGTGTCATTATACTGTACTTGTCTTTCAAATTATAACTAAGTAACCAACATCCAGACAGGATGAGAAACAGAAACAGTTATTGTTTAATGCTTGCTGATCAGGAGTGACACTTCATTTTGGGATCTTCCACCCGTCTCTTAAATGGCTTAAAATGGGAAAAATCTCTTGTAAATTATTTTGTACCTTTTGTAATCTTTAATTTCTCACCTAATGCACCGTTTTAACCAAAGTAGATTATTCCACTTCAGTTGAAACAGTTTAAGTGCACGCCACTTACTAGATAGTTCCTTTTGAATTCAGCTGGTGGTAGGTTCTGTGCAAAGGAAAAAAAGCTCTTGTGAGAATTATCTGTTACATAATCTGTAGCTTTCCCTCCACCTACACCCCTTAGAATGAACATTTAATTTTCAGTTCCATGTTTATCAGTGCATAATAAAGTATAGAAACATATAAACTTGGTACTGTTACTGAACAATTACTTTAAATAATAATTAGAATTTTTCAAGACTCCATTTTCAAGACTTTATTATTAACAAATAAACCCTAAACTTTTTCTAAATAACAAAATTGAATATGCCTAAGTGTGAACTCTTTCCTCTCAGTTGTTCTGTTTTACTTACCTGGGGCTTACAGTGAAAAGGTAAAAGAATAAACATCATTGCCATGACTATTTGGGTCTGTGGGGAGATCTAGGCCCTTAGTGTTACAATGGCATGGTGTGCATCTGCCTTCTTTATCCTGGGCTTGCCTTACATGTTTGTTTGTTGTTTGTTTCTTTCCTCCTCCAGACTGATGATTTGGATATTGAATTAGAAAATGCTGCTCACTACATGCAGTTTGCTGCAGCTGCTTATGGATGGCCTTACTACATCTACACTAACCCATTTACTGCACTCTGTAAGCTTAGTGGTGACTGGTAGGTTGGTATAAGATTTTAAAAGTGCATAGTTTCTTTTTTAATTATTTGTTTTTTCATATCAGTACAAATCACTTAAATAGAAGTTCTCTTATTCCGTCAATTTCTATCTATTAATAAGTATACATGAGCTTGATTGCTAGAGTTGTCTTTCGCAAATTGAGTAAAAGGAAACCAGCCTTCAAAATACTACTTCAGATTTTGGAAGGGTAGGCAAGCTGTTTTCTTTGGCCAAACTTACAAAGCCATACACTGAACTTGATGGCATTTCTGTGTTTGGCTATTAACACAAGAAGTTTTTGAACACTGCACCTGATTAATTACAAATGTTCAGAGAATGTTCGTGGGCATTAGTGACCAGAATCCTATTGATTTTGGATAGAATTGGACAACTGAAAGGGAGAATGGGAGACACATAGAGCAACAGCTTTAAGCCCCTCTGTATTTGTCTATAAAATCAAACAGTTGGTTAATGGCACCCATTAATGCCTTCCAGCAGAAAACTACCTCTGTCTCATTTCTGCCTGTCCTAATAAAGTTTAACATGTTTGCACCTTGAATGACTTATCTCCCAAAAAAATACTGGTTTGGGGGAATTGGGGCATGGGAGAATGGGAGTGTGCACACAGCCCCTGGCCTGGGAGACAGAATGGGGGAAGGGCACACAGAGCCCCTGGTGTGGAGTGAAAATAGAGGGACCTTGTATGAGTGGAGTGGGGAGCACCCAAGACCACTAGCATGGAGAATAGGGGGGAGACAGAACCTAGTGAGGCAGAGATTGGGGTATCCTGGTGTGGGTAGAGGGGGGCACACAGCTCCAGCACTGGGAAGATGGGGTGCATGGAGGGAAAAGGGTGCACACAGAGCTCCTAGTATGGAGGGTATGACAGGAATGGAGGTGCACACAAAGCTGCTGGCATGCGGGGAATATGGGGAAATTTCAGGGAGTACCTGAAATAAAGAGGGACAGAAGGGTAGCACACAGGGCCTTGTGGGATGGAGTGGAAGGATGCAAGGAGCACCTGGTGCTTGCAGTGAGCTCAGCCTATGCAAGCTACAAAGAGTGTGACCCAATGGTCACAAGAAAACAAAGAAACAAGATTGCAAACAGTGTAAAGAGTTACTGGTCTTCATTCAGCCAGATCAATGTTAGTATCTGAAAAGGCATTTGATTGAGTTGAATGGACATTCCTCAAAATGGGGTCATGGGCTGTTGGAATCAAACCAAACCGAAAAAGATGGATTGAAGCCTTGTATGCTTTTGCTTAGACAAGAGTGTGTATAAATGGAAGTACATTGATTGTTTTCTCTATTTAGGGGAATCAGGCAAGATTCCCCTCCTAGACCTCTTTGTCTTACAGTGGAACCATTTGCTTCTATATAAGGAATGAGTCAGTTGTTAAAGACCCTGATCCTGAAATTCTCTCTGTATAGACAGTCTTCCCCCAAGTTAATGGGTCTCTGCACAGGCGGCTATCTGCACTGAGACAGGTGCAGGATCAAAATCTAACATAAGTAAATCTCACCATAAACTAGCTTTGTATGTTAATATTATATTTAACATAATGTAACACAAGTGTGTCAAAATTAAGAAAAAGAAATAGATTGGGAAATTATACTAAGTGCATCAATGTCAAACTTTGGCAGCTTTGAAGTTGACCAAGTAAAAGTTATTATCTAACCCACCTTGTCTCCAATATTCTGTGATCATCACAGCTACAATAACACTGCAAACTTTGTCAGTTAATACTAAGAAGGCAAGCGTAATCTTATATAGTATCTCTCTGTTTAAATAGTCGCCTCCATTATTTGTGACATTAGGAGTGAATATTCCATCCAGCTTTAATTTCCATAAAGTTAATTTATCCTCCTGAGATGTCACAACATACAGTAATAAAGACTTGGGAGAAATTGAATGAATTTATAATTTTATAGCTGAAATTGTGGCTGGGGTCAAATTAACTCATTCCTTAGAATTGTTTTTGTACTTGAAATTTTTCCTCAAGTGTATGATTTCTATCTGGATGTAGTTTAAAAAAAAAATTATCTTCTTAGGAATTTCCTTGTTTACTCTGCGAAAAGATTTATAGCAATGGTGTATTAGCCAGTCTTTATAGTATAAACACCCAGTGTGCTCCCAATAGAAACCCTGCTGTGAATGTAATTGAGTTCTTTTTCTGAAAGGAAATGTAACTAGCTGGAACTGGCAAGTTCACTTTTCTTTCCCATGTTTCCTTAGTTGCAGAAACAGCCCAACAGATTCTGATATAATTGGTGGTGATCATCTTAACTTTCACTTTGGATCCATCCTAAAAATAACAGGGCTACAGTACAGAGATTTCATTCATATCAGCTTTCATAACAAGGTAAACAATCTGGACAAACATTCAGCAAGAGAATTCTCAGTAATTTCTTGAGTTCAGTTAGAAACCAGGAAGAGGATGCTTTCCTCTCCTTGCCCTCCCCTGTTATAAAATGGAAGCCCCAACTAACCCAAAATGTTTTTAAAAGCATTTAAAAAAAAACCCAACCCTAATACACGGATGCTTGTTTAGATAACAGTGACACAAACATTGACATTTTTTTAAGTACTGACAGACTTCACAAAACATAACAAAAGCTCTCGCGTAACTTTGTACAAGAATAAGAGCAATCCTAATGATAACTTTCAATAGATTTTAAAAATCCTGAGTTCAGTAAGAAAAGTTTATATGCCTAAATAGAATTTCATGATGTCATGTTCATTTCTTTCCAGGAAACTACAATAAATTTGGTATCTTCATTAAACACATCTAATTTTTTATCCTTCAGATTTTCGAGATCCCATTTTTTGTTGCTTTGGATCACAAAAAGGAGGCTATTGTGGTTGCAGTGAGAGGAACCTTGTCTTTTGAGGTATCATCTCTGTTGTGTAACACTGGCTCTGGAGATGGGTATGTCCCAATGGTTTGGAGGAGACAGTACACTTCTCTGTAGTGGCTAGACGAAATACGTAGTGCTACAGTGACACAATTAATTTTAAAATAACCCAACAGTTGAGTCAGCAATGAGATAGGGGAAGTAGATAATCTTCTTAAGTGGTAAGCCTGTCTGTTCTTGGATGCCTGAGAGCCTATATGCCATTTTAAGGGGCAAGTGAGAGAAAGGCAAAGGTAATTTTGTGTCAATATGATGTGAGGTGTATGTACAGTGTACTTTCCAGCTTTTGCATAGTAGCTTGAATCAGAATATTGTTTGTATATACAGTAGCTGTAAAGGGCACTTTGTGATGGGTTTCTAGATATGTGTAAGTAAGAGACATTCATACTTCTCTTTTCTATGTGCAATTACTTGCAGACTCAAAGTTTGCTTGAGGATATTACTGTCGTAAAGACAGTGTCAAGGGCTGTGAAAATTCCCATAATAGATGTCTGTAGCAAAAGAGGTCTGTCTTGTTATTTACTTGCAGGATCTCCTCACTGATCTGTCAGCAGAGTGTGAAGACCTGACGCTCGAAGACGTTCTGGAAAATGGTTTTGTACATAAGGCATGTGTCATCTTTAACCATTTGAAGTGATTTATTCAATGAAAAAAAAATCAAATTAACAACCCTAAATTTCTTCAGTTAAATGGAATTAGCTGGGTTTTTTTGTGAGACAGAGTAGACCAGCTGTCTGGGTGGCTTGTTGGCAGTGTTCTTCTCTGCAATGCAGGAGGCAGAGTTTTTATGTTGTAGTCCTGGTGTTTTGCTTGCCTCCCGTGTCCCTTTAAATTAAAAAAATAGTAAATAGAAAAATGTAAATGTGCAGTACACTCATTCAGGTGCCACTCTTGGGCTTCAGTAGAGCATTGAAACTGTTAACTAGGTTATCACACATTTTTACAGTCAGTACTTTGAACACTGCATTTAAAGGGATATGTGTATTGCATTTCCAACTAGACACTACTTTTTTCTCTTAACTTAGAATACTGTCTTCTAGGGGATAACTCAAGCAGCAAATTACATCTACAGAAGGCTAATAAATGATGGCATTTTAAACCAGGCTTTCACCATTGCTCCTGTAAGTCCTGACTTGCAAATTATTCAGTTTTGCCAGCAGTGTTTGACAAAACACTTCAGTTACATTGGAAACCAAAGTGGAGCAAGCTGTCTCTCTTTTAACCTCACCATATAACTCTTCTGTTTTTGTCTTTAGGAATATAAACTAGTTATAGTTGGTCACAGTTTAGGTGGTGGAACAGCTTCCATATTGGCCATCATGCTCAGAAACTCCTTCCCAACATTAAGATGTTATGCCTTTTCTCCTCCAGGAGGATTGTTAAGGTAAATACAACACTTGGTTTTAAGTGCAAGATACAGAAATCATTAAGATACTTACACAAATTCATCCCAGGTATGACTGAATGGAGTTGTTTCAGAGATGGATTTGGCTCGTATTTTGACAGAAGAAGCTGTAGTGGTTTTAAGTTTAATATATTAAATAGGGCTGTCAAGCAATTTAAAAAAATCACAATCACGCAATTTAAAAAAATTAAATTGCGCAATTAAACAATAATAGAATTCCATTTATTTAAATATTTTTGGATGTTTTCTACATTTTTCAACTATATTGATTTCAATTACAACACAGAATACAAAGTATAGTGCTCACTTTATATTTATTTTTGATTACAAGTACTAGCACTGTAAAAAAACAAAAGAAATAGTATTTTTCAGTTCGCCTTATACAAGTACTGTAGTGCAATCTCCTTATCATGAAAGTGCAACTTACAAAAGTAGATTTTTTTTTTTTGGTTACATAACTGCATTCAAAAACAAAACAGTGTAAAACTTTAGAGCCTGCAAGTCCACTCAGTCTTACTTCTTGTTCAGCCATTTGCTCAGACCAACAAGTTTGTTTATATTTACAGGAGATAATGCTGCCCACTTCTTGTTTACAATGTCACCTGAAAATGAGGACAGGCGTTCTCATGGCACTGTTGTAGCTGGCATCGCAAGATATTTATGTGCCAGATATGCTAAAGATTCATATGTCCCTTCATGCTTCAACTACCATTCCAGAGGATGTGTCCATGCTGATGACGGGATCTGCTCGATAACCATCCAAAGCAGTGCGGACCGACACGTGTTCATTTTCATTATCTGAGTGAGATGCCACCAGCAGAAGGTTGATTTTCTTTTTTGGTGGTTTGGGTTCTGTAGTTTCTTCATCTGAGTGTTGCTCTTTTAAGACATTTGAAAGCATGCTCCATGCCTCGTTCCTCTCAGATTTTGGAAGGCACTTCAGATTCTTAAACCTTGGATTGATGCTATAGCTATCTTTACAAATCTCACATTGGTACCTTCTTTGCCTTTTTGTCAAATCTGCGGTGAAAGTGTTCTTAAAATGAACAACATGTGCTGGGTTATCATCTGAGACTGCTATAACATGAAATATATGGCAGAATGCAGGTAAAACAGAGCAGGGGACATATAATTCTCCCCCAGAGAGTTCAGTCACACATTTCATTAACTTCTTTTTTTTTTTTTTAATAAGTGTCATCAGCATGGACGTGTGTCCTCTGGAATGGTGGCTGAAGCATGAAGGGGCATACAAATGTTTAGCATATCTGGCATGTAAATACCTTGCAATGCTGGCTACAAAAGTGCCATGCAAATGCCTGTTCTCACTTTCTATTGACACTGTAAATGAGAAGAGGGCAGCATTATCTCCTGTAAATGTAAAACTGAATGGACTTGTAGGCTCTGAAGTTTTACATTGTTTTGTTTTTGAGTGCAGCTATGTAACATAAAAAATCTACATTTGTAAGTTGCACTTTCACAACACAGAGATTGCACTACAGTACTTGTATGCGGAGAATTGAAAAATACTATTTCTTTTGTTTACAAATATTTACACTGTAAAAGATAATCAAGAATAATATAGACTTTGATTTCAATTACAACACCAAATACGTACGTACTTTCTCTCTCTCTCTCTCTCTCTCTAACATCCACAATATTTAATAAATTTCAATTGGTATTCTATTGTTTAACAGTGTGATTAAAACTGTAATTAACCATGATTAATATTTTTGAGTTAATCGCATGAGTTAACTGCAATTAATCGACAGCCTTAATATTAAAGAAATTTGAACAGGTTTATCTTGTTCTGACTGTGGGGTTTGCCTTTGTAGATGATGACTGAAACTTGTTCATAGCTTATTTATAAAATAAAGTTTTCCAGCAAAGTTGTAATTGTCCCATCTGACATTGTTCCTGTGTAGCCATTAAAGAATTAAATACTCTATTAATTCTGTTAACGAATACACTGTTAATACTGAAAGTAAATGCTTCAAATCAAAATCCTTAACTAATCTTGGCCTGTACATAGAATCATAGAAATTTAGGATTGTAAGGAACCATGAGAAGTCATCTAGTCCATCCCTATTATTTAGCATGTGTAAGGGGGTTCAGTGTAACCTGCTCTTGAATTAGTCTTAAAAGGCTAGTTCCAGAAAAAAGTGCAGTAAAATAACTGAATGTTTTTATTGCAACACATTATTATATTATACAAATAACATAGGTCATAGCAAAACTAAAATATATATATTTATTTATTTATTTATTTATTTTTAGCAAATCACTTGCAGACTACTCTAAATGCTTCATTGTGTCAGTCATTGTTGGAAAGGACCTTGTTGCAAGGTAAGGATGTGACTTGAGTTGGACCATTACATTTTATTCAGAGATGGTTATTCTCCAGCAGTTGGCCTAAGAAGCTTTTTTCACTTTGTTTTGTATGTTAAACAGGTTAAGTATGCCAAACATGGAAGACCTGAAGAGAAGGCTAGTGAGAATAGTTGCTAATTGTAACAGGCCGAAGGTAACAAAACACATCATGAACAATAAAAGCGAAGGGAATTGTCAAGTAGTTTTGATACAACTTTTAGTGTGGTGATGGCTTGTTTTCTGTTAACGAGGGGGTTCCAAAGCACAAATTGAATAGAAATGTTTTGTTAATTTTTAATTTAGTGACAACATAGGTATATGGTGTCATCTTATTTAAACCTTTCCCTGCTGTTTTGGAAACTCTTGTGGTTGTGCATAAGACCTGAGAGCTGAAATAGGGTATGTAATTCAGACTAGTTTGCTGCTCAAGGGAAATGCAAAATATAAACCAAATAGCATAAATGGTGACAAATCAATAAGATTTTTTAATAGTTTTAGTAAATCGTTATTACTTACAAAAATAGGGGATTTGTTTAAAACATCTTTATTTTCAGTGCCTTTTTTTAAGGCAAAAATCTCAAATTTTTATTGCCTAGTTTTTGGTTTTGGTATTAGTGAGGTTAAACGCTATAGGCTGCAGTCAAGTTCACATGTGTTTCGGGAGGCCTAGTGGTGGATCTCCTGCAGGGCAGCATTGTTTATTTACCATCCCAATTTGTTGCTATGTTGGCTAGAAGGAACTAGAAGAATGCAGAGACTGTGCAAAGTGTCTGTAGTGGGACAATGTGCCCCTGGTGTTGCTCGGCAATGATCCCTGCAGCTGATTAAGGAGGGATTGATAGATCAATGACCGAGGACTCCAGTATGGCTCAGTAGGCTAAGTTTGGTCCCCTGTCTTCTGGGACCAAAAGGGGTGCGAATCTTGTAGAAGGGACTCCTTCTCCCCATCACCAGGGAAGGCTTTGTCTGGCTGTACCATCAGCCCTTACTGTTCATTGAGGAAACACAGGTGAAGTTCCAAAAGAAGCTATGCTTGCATTCTCAGAGCGGTAGTCATTGGAGAAGAATCGCATGCTGGATGAGGCTTTAGGGTGGTCCTCCTGGAGGACTGGAACAATAAATTGTCAGGAAGATGACTTCCTTGTGGTGTGAGGAGGAGTGGGTTAAAAACTGCCCTCCATCGATGCCTAGAGTTAAACCCTAGATCCTCCGCGGGTTTTTCCACAAGATTTGTGTGTACTTCCAAGATTAGCGACCCTATGGAAGCCTTCTGTGGAGAGTTAAACTTAAAGAAGCTGATAGGCAGCTAGAGATTGTGAATGTGGGGATTCAAGCTGGATAGGAGAACTGGGGGAGGAATTAATTGTCAGAGTTGCAGATGTTTCCCTCTGAATTGACCCTTCTTAATTAATTGATATCAGCTCAGTCCACAAAAAAGTGTCTCTACTTAATTTGGAGAAACTTGGGTATAGAGATCTTGCATTTTGTGTGTGTGTTTAAAATTAAATACTACTTTGGAAATAAACATCAAAATTTCATATTCTGCTTCTTTCTCTCTGAACTCAGTACCAGATCCTGTTGTATGGGTGTTGGTATGAAGTGTTTGGAGGAGATCCAGATAACTTCCCAACTGAGTTAGATGGTAGAAGTCAAGATGCCCTAACCCAGCCTCTTCTAGCTGAAGAGAGTTTAATGATGCATCGGTCACCTTCTTACAATGCCATTGAGGATGAATCTCCTTTAAATGCTCCACCTCAGTATCCTCATCTTTATCTCCCAGGAAAAATCATCCATATTGTAGAAGAAACCAGCTCAAGAAGGTAAATGATCAGCATTATGCTTCACTGAATTATTAAATTGAAGCTTCTCTTCTTCACCTTAGAAGCAGAGGCAAGAGCTCTGGTCTCTCTGCTCTCATCTTCTCCTACATCTATTCATGCTCTTTATATATTGTATCCAATCTTCTCTGGTGTTCCATGATTCTTTAACCTACTTCTGAGTCAGTGCTTCATTTCACGCTTACCCCCAAAACTGGGAACAACCTCCTCATTCTTTGTCCCCTCTACTGAATACCGTCTTGTGACATTGCAACTGTAATGACCAAAATCCATTCTGTGTTGAATCTGTTCTACTCACTTACACCTTTAAACAGTAAACTAGCCAGGACAGGTACTTGTTATGTGTTTGGCGCAGGCCACCTACTGTACAGCACTATATAAGGCATCACAAAGTATTTAGGTGCTGTAATGGTGATGCTAATTGCTTTGTTACACACTACCGTGACATTACCATTGTTTGTGGAGTGAGCACCTAGTTATTGTCAAAGTTGGTGTAATACCATCCATTATACTGAAATGGGCTTGTCCCAGCCATGGTGCAGTTGTGTTAATGATGTAGTACTACCATTTCTATTACATATTTGCCTTAATAACTGTAGCCTGAGCATGCAAATCTCTCTGCTTCTGGCTCCTGTACTTGGAATTCTCAAACTGGTCCAGCAAGAACCTTGCTGCCTCAGCTTCTCCCTCCCTTTGAGTTGAAGCAGGAAGGAGACAGATGCTCAAATAGCAAAGAAAATGGGGGTTATGAAACTACCAAAAAAGGAAGTATTTTTAAGAGTTTTAAAAAAAGGCAAATCTCTTCCCTCCTTCCTCACTTCCCACTCTATGGGCCAGCAAGGCTCCTGCCTCTGTCCACCCCTCCTAGTTCCATTTTGAAACAGACACAAAAAGATGGATGATTTAGAGGAGAAAGAGCCTCCTTGTTGACCAGAAGAGAAGGGAGGAGGAAAATGAAGAAGGGTGGACAGGCCAAATTCTTTTAAAACACTTTCCTTTCAGCCGTTTGCCAGCCCTCTTTCTTTTAGCTTTCTGGTTTCTTCTTTCACATTCGTTTTTTAATATTTTTAGCTTTAAAAATCAGTACTGTTTGGCAATAACCTGAGGATGGTCTCAATTGAGTGGGTGGATGGTCTCAATTGAGTGGGTGGATAATTAATATCAATAGCCTGGGCTAATAAACTCCCCAGCCTTCCTCCTCAGTTCAGCCTGACACACAGTAATTAGCTGTATTATAATATTTAATCTAATATTGGATATGTAATAAAAGCACCCTCAACATAATGGTAGTCAGTAAATAACACACCACTCTTTTGTCCAGTCCATCTAGCCCCAAATGTGATTTTGAAATATTGCTAATAAAAAATAAATAACCATTTTAAAGACTAGGAAAAAAGGGTTCCTTTAGAAGTTTCAGATGTAGAAAATGGCAAATATTGGTTTAGTTTTAGATTGATGGAAATATGGAAAAAATTATTAGCTGCTCATTGATGTCACTAACTAATGTGTTCATCATTAGTTGAGAAATTCCATTTGTTTATGTAAATAAACCGACAGACTCCATCTGCACAAATGTTAGAATAGAACAGGATCTGTAACTCAGGATCTGTAAGAAGAATGTGGGAATAGGATTAGTTCTCAAATTAGCTTACTTCTGATCTCACTGACGTTGTTTTACCATTGATATAAATTGGAGCACAGTAGGCCAAAACGGAGGGTTTTTTGAAAAGCTCACTTTTTCTTCTAATTATATAAAATATTTAGTAGTAGCTGAGTAAAGATTTGTTTATATCCTTTAATAATCTGCAAAGGTTTTAAATATATGACCAATATGCTTTCTAAGGCCAACATGTGGATTTGCACTGTATAGTGGACACAGATCAAAATTCATGTGATATTCTAAATGTCTAAAAGGCTTTACTGAAATATTTCTTTATAGGTGGTGTTCTTCTGATGTTAAATATACTGCAAGATGGTCAAAAGAAACAGCCTTTAGCAATATTTTAATAAGTCCCAAGATGATAACGGATCACATGCCAGATGTTGTGCTCAAAGCCCTGAACAACTTGACTGAGGAAAAAGCATCTTGTATTACCTGTCAAATAGAAGGAGACTTTCACACCAACACAGTATGACTATAACTCTAAGAGAACAGCCCTATTTTTTTTTCTTTAGGCTTCAAGTATTCAGGAGCCTTTAACCTCAGACTTAAGTGGTGGTGTGGGTTTTGGGTTTTTTGTTTTTTTTTAACATGCCTAAAATAGAAACTGTGGAGGGGTTGTCTTGGTGACGGTCATAATGCAAAATGCATTTTACTCTGCAGAGGTTCTGCAAAAGTAAACATTACTGGCTAACTGTAATAAGATAGTTAAAATGAATGTATTCAAGATTTTGACAGAAGCAAATCTAACCTTTCTGGAAATGGGACAGTAAGATGAGTCTTAGCCAGTTACATGTAAATTACTGTATCTTTCATTTTACAGCTCGAAGGATTTGGATAAACTGCGAACGCAATTCATAGGGAGATAATTGAGCTAGAGCAGAGGAACCATGACACCTAAATTCTAATTCTAGCTCTGCCACAGACTTGCTGTGTTATCTTGAGCATGTCACTTAACTTCCATTGTGTCTCAGTTTTACAGATGTAAAACTAGGGTATTACCCATCTTTGCAAAGCATTGAGATTCTTGGGTGAAAGGTGCTTATGTAAAAGCACAGTATTAATAATTATTAGAAATGAACACTGCCACTAGGAAGTTTCATTAAAGGAAATTGGGTAGTAAATGATGGTGCAGTTGCAAATCTAGTGCAGAGAGGGTTTAAAAAAAATAGAAAACTATTTTGTTTTTAAACAGCCAGTCTTGATTGCACTAGTTACCTTCTGAAAATACCTCCATGGTATCTCATTTATTTCATGACAATTTTCTAATATTGGATCTCTTGTTTTTCAAAATGCTGCTTGGATACATGTGCAATATTTTTGTATCTGTTTGTTTTTAACCCTAAAGGACTCATTTTAAATTCTAGAATGTAGGAATAAATCCCCAAAGAAATTCTTAAGGGAATGACAGAGAAGCATTGTACCCTTTCTACACTAGATCCAGCCTGAGACTAATGACCCTCTGACTCTTACCTTCCATACATTTGATTTAGTTGCAAAGGTTTCTTAACTAGACAGTCCAAGTACCAATTTTGCAACTCCACTATTTAAATTGATTGTATGGTGAATGTCTGATTAAACTTGGTTGCTTTGTACTGAGCAAGTGATCCTTTTGTAAAAAGCATATGTTGCTTGTCAGAGACAGTCCCTTATTGTAACCTTTAAAAAAAAAAAAAGTACAGAATTTGTGTATTGGGGTAGTGCAAGTTTGTTTTGGTAGTCCTGCTGTGCCCCTTCAAGCAGGAACAAAATAAAATCTCAATGTGTCTCAGTGTAAGCATGCAAGTGTATGTGTAACACAGGACAGGAAATTTATGATTTGTATATTAAAAAGCAATGCAGGTTGTGGATTTTGTGCTACAGCAACACTTTAAGTACTTAGTGTAGTGATTTACACCGCCAAGACAAACCCCTCACATCATGTCTAGAGCACTTTGACCTATTGCTGTTTGAAGTATCACTGCACTCCCAGTGGAGGGCATGCTAACTTGTCCTTTAGACCTGTCTTAAATATCGCCATCAGATTTTAGTACAGTAGTACCAAAACAAAGGCAAGATGCTTCCTTTGATTTTTCCCCTCTAGTGTGAAGTTTAATCCCTGCTTGTAAGAGTTCCTATTAACTGTCCCTGTGCACATCACAGTAGCAGTCTTTCTGAGCAGCAAGGCTAGAAGTTTTCCTGTTGGGCACTGGGACAAATCCACAACTGTTTGAGGTTTTATAAAGATCAGGGAGATGACACCTGTAGTAAGATAAGGCCCTGAAACAAACTCTTGTAGCAAGGGCCTGAAGCCTGAACCAAAGTATTTCCAGGCATTGCTAAGCAAAAGCTGGGCTGTGAGCCAGAGGCAGGCCCCACTCACAGAAGTTGGCAAGAAGAGGGCTGCTAAAAGCAGGTGCATCCACACATTAGTGCTAATAAGAGGGACTTGTGCCAAGATAGCATCAGCACACTCCACAGAGCTAACAAGGAACAGGCAGGTGCATATTAAAGACAGGGTCAAAAGGACAACATAAGGGATAGATTTGTTTGAACCAACATGATCAAAGGGGGGAGATAGCCCCCAATGAGTCAAGTGGCTGTACTGCAATACATCAGTAGTGATGAGTAATCTGTCCTGTAACTGTATAAAAGTAGGTCCTGGAGTGCACATCTATGTCTGGCCTAGGGGGCAGTGGAAAGTCCTGCCACTGACTGAGCTGGTCCATTGCTGGGGACATAAATTCATAGTATGTCTTGTAGAGTCTACAAGAAACTATTACTGTGTTTCGTTTAATAAACATGGCTTACGTTCCTTCATACCTTACTAGAGTGGTCTTTGGGGGTTCTCTCAGGGTCTGCTGTCAGCTATCTGCGCAGAACTGGGGCAGCACACAAGGAACACACACACACACAGATGACTTATCATTGAACAAGAGCAGAACACCACACCGGTAGCTTCTGACACCACCACCTACTGCCCTAGCCAATGTGGGAGAAGCAGGGTCTTGAATTCATGTCTTCCACAATCATCACGCTATCTTCCAGGGGCTCTCAAACTGGAGGTCAGAACACCTCAGGGGTGTCATGAGCTGTCAGCCTCCACTCCAAACCCTGCTTTGCTTCCAGCATTTATAACAGGGTAAAATATATAAGAAACTGTTTTTAATTTATTGGGGGTGGGGGTTGTACTTCGAGGCTTGCTATGTGAAAGGGGTCACCTGTTCAAAAGTTTAAGAACCACTGCTATAGTCATAAAAAGAAGAACAGGAGTACTTGTGGCACCTTAGAGACTAACAAATTTATTAGAGCATAAGCTTTCGTGGACTACAGCCCACTTCTTCGGATGCACTTCTTGGGGGAACAAGAAGCCTTAGATTATGAGCAGTTTAAGGATTCGGTGTTAAGGCGGTTCAAGGTTACTCCTGAATCTTACAGAGTTAAGTTTAGAGAGTTTAAAAGCTTATGCTCTAATAAAATGTTAGTCTCTAAGGTGCCACAAGTACTCCTGTTCTTCTTTTTGCGGATACAGACTAACACGGCTGTTACTCTGAAACCTGCTATAGTCATATACACTAAGTAAAAGAGCTCTAACAGGCAAGATTAAGACCCAGAGCAGATTAGCCACTTCATCTGGGATGCAAGAGACCCAAGTTTCTGTGCACTGGGAGAAATAGATTGAGGTGTAACCTAGTCACTCTTGGTTAGTGGGCTGTCACATGCTTTACTTTAGTACACATAGGGCAGATGTTAAATATGGGCCTGTCATAACTATAAAGGGAAGGGGGTAACAGCTGTCCTGTGTACAGTACTATAAAATCCCTCCTGGCCAGAGACTCCAAAATCCTTTTCCCTGTAAAGGGTTAAGAAGCTCAGGTAACCTGGCTGGCATCTGACCTAAAGGACCAATAAGGGCACAAGATACTTTCAAATCGTGGGGGGGGGGGGGGGGAGAGAAGGCTTTTGTTTGGGGGTTCGTTCGCTCTTGGGACTGAGAGGGACCAGACATCAATCCAAGTTCTCCACATCTTTCTAAACAAGTCTCTCCTATTTCAAACTTGTAAGTAAATAGCCAGGCAAGGCGTCTTAGTTTTACTTTGTTTTCTCAACTTGTAAATGTACCTTTTACTAGAGTGTTTATCTTTGTTTGCTGTACTTTGAACCTAGACTAGAGGGGAGTCCTCTGAGCTCTTTCAGTTTGATTACCCTATAAAGTTATTTTCCATACTAATTTTACAGAGATGATTTTTACCTTTTTCTTTAATTAAAAGCCTTCTTTTTAAGAACCGGATTGATTTTTTCTTGTTTTTAGATCCAAGGGGTTTGGATCTGTATTCACCAGGGAATTGGTGAAAGGTTTCTCAAGGCTCCCCAGGGAAGGGAATTAGCTTGAGATGGTGGCAGCGGACCAGAGCTAAGCTGGTAGTTAAGCTTAGAAGTCTTCATGCAGGCCCCCACATTGTACCCTAAAGTTCAAAGTGGGATACAGCCTTGACAGGGCCAGAGTAAGTGTTCTAAGTGAACCACAGAAATATCAGATTCTACAAAATATAAACTTTTCATTCAAAATGCTTCCAGCCCTCTAGGATATTAACATTCTAAATGCAAGGTAAGCATGATGCACTGTTGGCTGCTTGAAAGCCCTCCCCATTAGTCTTATTGGTGTGTTGTCTATAATGTTCATGCCATCAATTGTAACTGCTGATCACTCCTACTTTATATACTTAATTTTATCAGACAGGAATAGAGGGAGAACAAAGTTGCTGCAACAAGGGAAATGAAGAGCAAAGAAAGGAAACGGGCAATAGCAGTGGGCACAAACAGAGTGGATGTCCTCCCAGTAAGTGATGGTGACTGACTAAACAAAGAATGACAAAGGCCATTCTTGATTAGGCCTCCCACTAGCAGTGAGATATACTATTTTAAGGAAGGGAGGAGGTAGTCCTAGAGTTATACTCCAGCCCTCTCCACAAAGGAATTTGAAAGCATGGTCTAGGGGATAAGATGGTTGTCCTATACTACAAGTCCCAGTTTTCAAATCATTGAAGCATTAAATTGCCACCACTGGGAGCTAGAGACAGTAGTAGCTGGTTAGCTTTCTATCACAACTGAAACAGGGATCAAGGCAAGGTAGTAAGAAGAATGCAATTTTATTTGAAGGGCCAAAGCATGGCATCCTACAAAGAGGAAGAAAAACTGTCAGGGCCAGCAAACTTCTCTCAGCATTATTCTCGGGTTAGTGACCCAAGAACTAGTTTTTTTAATCTCTAACCCTATGACATCTAGCAACCTGGAATTCATTTGTTCTGAAGAGCATGTACTTACATATTACTGAAAGACAGACAGTTCCAAACTACTACCATTCTGCTATAAATAGCAAGCACACACACTTCTGCAATAAAGATTTAAGAACATTTTGACAGAAAAAATCAAGCACTACCAATGATGTGATTCAAGAATTTATTAAGTCATACATGCAAAACATACTAACTGCATTAGCAAAAGATCAATGTAAAAACTTCACAATTTTGCAACTTGATTTTTAAATTTTGTTCTAGTGGTTGAAAGGGTGTAGTTCAACATTGTATTCTTGCCAGTTTAGGATGTACAGAACATTGTTAGCACTAAGTTACAGAACCTCACAGACCCAAGTTACCATTACCAGATAAATCAACGTGATGCACATGTAGGTGAGATAAAGGACAATTGTCAGCATTAGTCATGTTAGTGTTGGGGTACCTGGCAAAGTAATGTTTGAGAAGGTTCATAGCTTAAGGAGGTCTAAAGTATAAAAATTACTAAAACTTGTAAACTGTTTCACATGATTTTTACACCTAATGACTAGAAGACTAAAGAAAACGCCTCAGAAAGCACGTAATTTACTGGATCAGAAGTAACAGGAAAATAAGGATATGCTTAAGTTTTCTAATCTACAAAAAAACCACAAAATGTTAATATATCAGAAAGGTTTTAAAATACAAGTTATATTGCTCAATAAGAAGAAATTCTACAAGAAAAGCATTTACTAAATATAACATCTGTGGGAATGACCAGTTCAAAGTTGTGTTAAATGAATGCCCTACTTGAAAATAAATTCAAAAACCTACCTATAAACACCAACCTCTTTTTCACCTACTGCATATTTGTGACAAGTCAATTTTACTGTTACTGATTTTACCTGTGACAAAAAAATCTATTCAGCTTAACCACTCAGTTGACAATGTAGTGTAAATTGGTCTGTACAGTGTCAAAATACTGTCTGGCAATATCACTTGATCAAACCAGATGTGTTTCACTTACCCATCACAATACAATGCTGTCAAGAGGAGTACATATACTTCAGTAAGAATATTTATTTTTAATCACAGCAGCAAGAACTAGATTGTAACTGAGCCCTTACCAGTGATCAACCATTTTTTACTGGGACTCTAAGGTCAGTCATATTGTCAATTATCTTAATCGTTTAGGTTTGATATACAATGCTATGCAACAACCACAGGTTGAGAAAACATTTACATTAGACTGCAACATTTTCCTAAGGATACCGTACTGTTACATATTTGTGAAAAACTAGAGTGTTTTGCATTTCCTACAGACATTAGAGTTTTCATAAAGACAACAGTCTTAAAAATAGTTTAGTGCTTAGTGTTCATAGCACAACAACGCAACTTAATTCAGCGGATAGTTTGGCAACACTTGATTAATCTGAGCAAGAATAGGACTTTAAAAATAAGGCTTTACATAGGTTTGTTATTTTTTAGGATTTCACTTTTAGTAGGATTTGAAAAGCAGTTTTCATACTTTAAACAAATGAAACCATGAAATTGTTGATTGATTCAAAAATTTTATGGAAGAGAACTAATTTATAACAGAAAACTTGGCATTGAATGTGAAATGCTCCCTGGTTCTGAGCAAAGCACACAAGGTTCGGAGTGGGGGTGGAGCAGGGTAACATTTACAGCAGCAGACATTTTCTCTTCCTCTTCTTTACAGGAGGAGGGCAGAGAACTGCTCGAATAGCTTCATCGAACACTGTCTTGAGGCCTCGCTGTGTAAGTGCTGAGCATTCTAGGTATTTCACTGCACCTGCAGAAAGCCAGAAGGTTTGAAGTTACAAAACAATTCTCTACATTGTGCCAAAGATACCCTTGTTTCTGTTTTTGGCAGTCAGTTAAAAGCAGTGTCTCCTATACAATGAATTTCAGGTAGAGTCAATGTAATTCAGTAAAAATCATACCAATCTCTTTTGCCATGGCAAGGCCCTGTGGATAGGTGATTGGAGTCAATTTCTTCTCCTTCAGCTTTTCAATAGTGTCTTTATCATCTCTAAGATCAAGTTTGGTACCCACTAGAATGATGGGAGTGTTAGGGCAATGGTGTCGCACCTCTGGATACCACTGCAAAAAAAAGGATGCAAGTATGTACTTGGCAATTCAACAGTTAGCAGAAAAATTTCAGTTGAAGTCCATCTGTGCTCAGGAGTGTAATTACAGGCACGGATACCCCAGAATAGGTATACTGGACATTAACAAGACAGAGGGGTGGGTGGGTGGAAGAAATACTCTCCCATATCTTTCAATAAACTGTAAATTGTAAAATCAATGTGTGCCTAAAATGAAATACATCCCCTTGTTCAAGATCCATTGAACATTAAGCATAACAAAGATAGGATCCAAAAGGGGATTCCCCCCACGACAGCTAAATTTTGGCTTTGTGAACCTGGGCCAGCAAGTATGGCATCCAGCATTTAACATCAGAGAGAGACTTAACTCCTTTCTTATCCAGGACAGTTGACTTTTCTACAGGCTGAAAAATCCTGATG